TTTTTTTTAGTAAAGTCTTTAACAAGGAAAGAGGAGATATTTTGGAAGGTGCAACAAATATCTTGTGGCGTAACTTTCTACCAAGAAAACAAATATCTTGTGGCGCTTGGCGACTTTTGTCTAAGCAGTTACTACTGAGGTGACGTGGCACAAATGTGGACCCATGACACATGTAAAAGCAATGACAACTGTAACGTTCTTTTGTCCCGACCGCCAACCCAACACCCCAAAAGCGCACATTCCCCTCTCTCTCCTCCAATTCTGAATTCTTCCCCTCTCTTCCCCTCTCTCTCCTCCAATTCCAAATTTAGCCGCTACCAAATAAATATCTGTCCTTCAATCTTATTTTCTTTTTATTTTTATCGTAAATATACAGATAATTTCTTACCAAAGATCAAACAGACAAGGTTTGATTTGCAGATTTCTGGGTTTTCTGGTATGAGGCCAAGCCGGTTGACTTCTCCGGACGGCCCTTCTTCTAGCCCGGTACTTTCTTCTTCCTTCTCTCCATAATTCATTTATTTTTGTTTTTGGTTTTATTTACTTTTTTATATTTTCGGAGAACATGAACATAACTTTCTGAAAATTGTACCGTCATGCATGCAGTTCGTGGTTTTACATGAAAGGTACAGATATTAGATAGGGCGGGTTATGAGATTTTTTTTTTCCTTTTTTCTTGATTTTGTTTCCGTTTAAGCCGAAAGTTTTGATTTTTTTGAATAATTTGGAGTTTATTCCTGTCGTTTCTACATGGGTTTGTTCCATTTTGTTTGGCTAGTAATAGCTTTCTACTTTCGTTTTAGATAAACGTTTACTGGTTTACTTATGGAAACAGATCTAAGTGTAGTGCCAACATTAATACACGCAGCTAAAAAAACTAAATAGAAGTAAAAGGTTGGTTGTTGTTGTTGTTGTTTTTGTGCCTTTTTTTTTTTAATTTTTTGGATTGGGAGGTGTCACTCTGTTATTTATCAGTTGAAAATGGCTTGAAGATATCTTGGTTTTTTTTGTTTTTTTTTGTTTTATGGTGAAACTTGTGTATTAGAGTGCTGCTGTGGAATCGCCAGAACCCATGTCTGTGGAGTGGACAGATGAGAAGCACAGCTTGTACCTTAAATCAATGGAAGCTTCTTTTGTTAATGAATTATATGATTCCATGGAGTTTCTTAGATGGTATCCCCAAATGAAGCATCTCTCTCATGTCAAATCCTCAAAGCATACTAACCCCCGTGCCACTCCCTCCCAGGTCTCTCCCTAATCCTTTTTAGTTGTTATTATCAGTTATATATTTGTGGTGTATATATATGGGTGTGTGTGTGTGTGTGTGTGTACAGAAAAGAGTCGTGTTGTATGTATTTCTTGTCTCAGTACTTTTTTTTTCTTTTTTTTTTTTTTTTTTTTTTCAGTTTAAGGTTCTTCGAAGTGGTTGCTGGCAAAAAATCAATTTTGAGAGAGGTGAATCTCAAGTAGTTAAGACCAATGAAGCTCATGGCAGTGGCCTTCTTGCAAATCCGTGGATCCTGCACTTTAGATCTGCCCGGAGCAACACGCAAGGCGTCGAGTGTTGTGGAACACCGCGACACATGGCCTCTATAAATCGAGCAAATGATTCGGACAGGAAGAAGTCAATGTCGCGTTGGGGGGCTTCTAGTTCAAAGCATTTTCGAGTTTTACGCCATGAGGATTTACATGGCAGCAAGACAGGTATTCAGCTTTGTTTTGGTGTTTTGCTCTGGTGATCTTTACAACTTAGCTTATGTGTCATTATCATGCATCCAAATGTTAAGTGTATCACATTCAACTACAAAAACTTTACTCAATGTACATACTTTGACTCTACGAGGTTAATTCCAATATATCTGTGTAGGTAATTGGTGCATTAACTTAGTTGATCCACCCATTTTAAATATAAAGTCGGTGTTGGAAATCAAAATTAAGAAAGAGGTAGTATTATTATCTTATAAACCAGTAGGAGATCATAACCATATGCTGATTGGTGACTCTGTCTATTTTGATTGTTGCAGAGGTTTCAGACCAGAACTTTGTTGATGAGGACATTGAAGAAGTAAAGTCAAAAAGGGTGAAAAAAGTAGAACCCGATCCTTCTTCTGCAAGTGATCAGGTAAAGATTATGCTCAGCAATTTTCAGTCAGATTGTTCTATTATGTTGACATTGAAATCTTGATTTTGCTCCTCTTTCTCCGGTTTAGCTGGTTCCGCTTCGCAAGCCTTAGTAACTACTCAATCGGCCTAACAAGACTGTGGACGGTCTGCGAGATTTCTAACTGAGGAGTTCATACATTGAGCCTGCTTATAGTAGTGATGATGATGATGATGATGACTAGTAAACAAAATTTAAATTGCTTTATCAAAATTGCTTGTCCGAGCGAGAGATACTTAAGACAGAAATTCATCAATGATTTGTTCAAGTGATTAAGAGTTAAAAATAGGGTGCTGCAAAATGGGGGTGAATAAGGTAGAAGAATTTACTATTAAAGCAATCTGCTTCTAGATACTTAGAGAAAATGATCAGCTTATGTAGATGCTTTAATAATGGCTCTTTTTGGTCTCGGTATTGTATTTTCTTGCGAAATATTGTAAACATTTCAGTCAGTAATTATTATTTATTAGCGAAGATGTTTTTGCTGCAGAAGTCCGGATTCTGTCTTCTAAATTTTTGGCTCTTAATTCTCGGGCAAAGAAAGATGAGCCAAAATACTAGAGCAGAGAGGAATATTGAGTTATTTCTGATATTTTTTAATATATACTTCATACTTTACTGGTTGATTATTGAAGAGAAATGTAGTTAGGCATGTGGTTAAACCTCATTTGTGATTAATGAGAGCTTTTAGCTTGTTGTGACAAAATTTCATGGGAACCTTTTCCTGTCGTTATTATTATTATTTTTGTTCCTGCAAGTTTCTCTTGTCAAGTTGATCACGTTTTTATTCAGAAAGAAAGTTGATCACGTTTTTATTTGAGACATTCTGGAATAAATAAATCAATCAAATTTCGGGAGGCCTCATGAAGTGCTTCTTCTTCAGGTCGCCATGAGTAGGGCTCTGGCCATAACATAATTGACACATCCAAGATTTACAAGTAAAGGGAGTTCGAATAGAGATAAGAGTACAGGGAGTTCAAATAGAGATGAATTGTGTTTGAAAGGTTCTGAATCGATTGACAAGTTCAATATTAATATCTTATCAATATTTTAAGTTGATTTGTATAAAATGTTTTTAAAAAAACTTGATATAAGAGAATTTAGTATTTTGTTTTGTTTTGTTTTGTTTTATTGCTCTATGAATCTGGTCAAGGTATCTCTTTTAATAGGCATTTGAGTCAAGGGAATATTTATTTATTTTATCTAAACATACATAAAAGAACAATAGAAAATGCTTTTCTTATAGCTATACGTCAATCTCTCTTTTTTTTTTTTTTTCTTTTTATGTTTTGTTTTTTACTTTTTACTTTTTTTTTCTTTCATTTTTAATTTCTAATTTTTTTTTCTCTTTTTCTTAGAACTTTTATTTTTAGCTTTTTCTTTTTTTTTTCTTGGTAAACATTTTTTTTTATTTTTTTGTTTATTGTCTATTTTTATTTTTTCCTAATATTTTTTGACAATTCATTTTTTTATAATATCTTTCTTGCAATTTTTTTGTCACTTTTTTTAATTAAAATATTTCTAGTGTGTTTTGATGTGATTTTTACAAAATATTTTTTTGTGATTTTTAAAAAATATTTTTTTCCTCCTGTTCCAATTAATAGACTTAATTTTTAAAAAGATCATGTTGTGACATAAAATTAAACTTATATAGTTATTTTAATAGCACGTGACACAACTAATTTTAATTTCCTCCTGTTCCAATTAATAAACTTAATTTATAAATGCATTTGACCGATTTGAGTTTTCAGTTTTAAGTTTTTACAGTAAAAAATTTTTAAAAAATATCATATTTAATTTTTTTATTACAGTAAAAAACTCTTAAAAAATATTAAATCTTAAATTAAAAATTCGAATATACGGATATTATGAATGCATCTGGTTCAAGTTGTTCGCCTACATCACTGATCTCCGTCGTTTCTGTGATGCAATTTGCTAAAGAAATTTGAATAGATTTTGCAAGAAAAAGAAAACGCAAAAAATAAATAAACTGTGGTGCAGACACGTGTCATTTATCTGAACATCGATTTACTTTCCAGATTTTACAACGTGGCCACGCGCTTCTTCCCAAGACAAACAAAGAACTTTTGTTTTTGTTTTTTTGTTTTAATTTTTAAATTGAGGAGTGAGGAAATAACCTTTCTGAACATATTAAAAACGAAACCCAGTTGCCTTTTTTCCCTTTTCCAAATTCTCAATTCTCGCAGTTTGCAAATTCCTACGAGGAATTTCCTCGGTTCCGGCTTACTTACCAAATTTTCTTCAGCAAACTAGAGTCTCTAATCCACGCGCGACGTCGCGTGAATTCACTCTCACAATTTCCCGCTACCTTCTTCTCGGCCCCCTTCACAAGCCCTAATTCGATTTCTCATTCGCAATTATCCAAATCCCTAGACTCTTCTTTTCCCCCAAATTCCAATCATATTTAAAAAAAAAAATCGAAGATTTTTCGTGATTGTTTTGTTCTGATCACACCAATTTTTTTCTTGAGCTTTTTGAAATTTTAGGATTCCCTATCATTGAAAATTCTACAATGTCGCCATTTACGTCGACGTCGAAGGTGGTGGGGTCCTTAATATCGCGACGAAACGGCATAAGGCATCTCGTCAAGCACGCCGGGAACGGGAAATCGCATCGGATTCGATGCTTTAGTGGAATTACGGGAATCGAGACCCCTTTATTGATCGGAAGCAAACGACAAGATGTATGTTCTTCGTCTTCGATCTTGTCCAACGTTGATAATCTTCAGAGGCGGACGTTTCTCGGTGTCGGTGACGGCGAAGAGGGCGGTGTTCTATCGAAAGTCTACGAGGAAAGGCGCGTCTTGGGGTAAACTTTGTTCAAAGCTTTGTTTTTCCCTCTTTTTTTTTTTTCGTTTTTTTTCCCCGTTTTTTAGGTGTTTATGCCTGTACCTTGCTGATGGGATGTGTGGATTTAGGTATTCTCCAGAGCAGTTATTTAATGTGGTTGCTGCTGTTGATTTGTACCATGATTTCCTCCCATGGTGTCAGCGATCTGAGGTATTTAGACAATATCCTGATGGGTCGTTTGACGCTGAACTGGAGATTGGCTTTAAATTTTTTGTTGAGAGTTACGTGTCCCATGTGGAATTAGAAAGACCCAGGAGGGTAAAGGTAAAATCTTGCTTTGATACTTAAATGAGTTCTGCTAAGAAATCTCCATTCTTTTGTCAGTTAATGGCTTTGTTTTTCTGCTGGTGGTTGTATTTTGCTGTAAGTTTAAAGTGAAAGTTGCCGAGACTTTCTTTGTATGTGCTGCCACTTTTTGAGAATTGAGTAAGGATTAATGCTGTGGTAGGAAGGAGTTCTGGGTTGGTTTTTGGTGCTTTATTAAGTTTTGGAATCTCCGTTTTTCGGAGCAAAGCGGAACATTATACTCCTTTAGTCCTTTTACAATATTCGTTTTCTGGTCTTAACTTTCCGAAAAGGGTTACCGTGAATCCACTCATTCAAATTTGATGTTTAATGTGGACAAGATTTATTAAGTGCAATTTGCAAATCATGTGCTTGAGCAGAAGCCAATATTACATCTAATGCTTCAATTGGAAGTTCCGGTTATCACAACCGACTTTTTTCTTAGTAGAGTTTTACATGGCTTGATTGGCGGCTATAGGTTCATTATGTTATTAATATTCTTCTGCCATCTTACTTTTTGCTTGTTATTTATAATCAATATTTCTTTTTTGCTTCCAGACAACTGCGTCGGATACCACACTCTTTGACCACTTGATAAACACATGGGAATTCAACCCTGGACCAGTCCCTGGAACTTGTAACCTTTATTTCTTGGTAGATTTTAAGTTTCAGTCACCACTTTATAGCCAGGTAAAATTTTGGTTGTATGTTCTCACGTCCTTTAGGTTCCTGGCATCATCAACTTTATCGATATGCTTATTTAGGTCTTTTTAGATTTTCTTAAGTCCAAGCTTCTCATGCATTAGTTGAGTTCCTGATAAAATTTAATTGCTTTTTTAACATTGTTTCTGGACATGAAAGAATAAAGAAACACCTTTGATTTAGTTTCTCATTGCTAGACGGTAGTTCCGCCTTCTGATGTGGAGCAAGGGGTCTTACTTCCCGCCCGCACACACACCACCGCCAATAGTGCTTTCAGTGATAGCATATTGTCTCCACCATGAAAAACCATAATCATCTACTTTATGATATAATCATCTACTTTCACATTGCAAATTATCTTGTTTCCAAGATTGGACAGAAATGGATGGCTGGTTTTCTCACTTCCATATGCTTAAAGATTGAACAACTAAAAGAAACTAGTCGCTTCACTTTACTTATTTATTTTTCATGTTCTTGTTGCCTGCATCTGATGTAATCATTAGCCGACACGTCCGGTTTTTAGATTTCTTTCTAGAGCACAATAATGATGGCCGAGTTTGACGTTCTGATTCTTGAATGACTTAGGCCCTGTTCACTTCGCTGATTCGAGTTTAGAATTCGAGTTTTTCTACAGTAAAAAGCTCTCATAAACAATCACATCTAACTTTTTTGCTACAGTAAAAAGCTCTCACATAAAGTCACATCTCAACTCGAATTCTAAAGTTTGACGTTCTGATTCTTGAATGACTTAGTTGATGACTCTTTTTTGACTCAACTTAAATGTGATGGTTATATGACAAAGAATCTAATCCTACGAGGATCATTCAGTTTCACTCTTTTGCTTATGCATGTTGATTATTGAGGATCTTATTTGCACGACTGTAATTTGCGATTGTTATGAACTAAGATCCTGTCTCGGTTTGGCGTCTAATTATGATACTTTAACATCCATTCTTTGTCTCATAGTGTAAGGTGTAAAATTGAAGAATTGCAATGCTGACAATGTTGTCTTGTTTGTCAGGTGGCATCCATGTTCTTTAGGGAGGTGGTCTCTCGATTGGTTGGCTCATTTAGTGAGCGCTGCCGATTGGTATATGGGCCAGGAGTCCAAGTTCTCGAAAATTCATATGGACAGAGCACTTGAAATAACATGTGCACGGGGTAGTTTTTGTTTGGTATTCAACCCGGTTGTCATTGAAGCTATACTGATGGGGTGTCACAGTTAATAAAACTTTCCAAACCCTAATTTTGTCACAAGTCATCAGTTTATGCCCATTTATTTGGTTTCATTTCTTACATGTGTTCACGCTTTAATTGCTTTTCTAAACGGTTGGGAAAACCGGCAAAGAAGCACCCTCTTTTTTCACCCGGACTATCACGTTGTCTTCTGAGCTTCAAAATGCGCGACTCAGTACCCTTCGACTTTGAAACGTTTATGAAAATATTCCTCTAATAGTTCCATCAATTTTTACTAATGTGGTATTACATTTATCAAATTAAAACCTAATTTCTAAATATAAACGTTAAAAATTATCAAAAATGAATTATCTTTAAAATATAATTTTCTAACTTTTTTTAATATCAAATCACGGAACCCTCGACTTGCCAGTTGCGACCACTGACTTGCCAGTTGCGACCACTAACACCGCAACCTCTCTTTGCTCTCACTGATGACCACACCCTCACCGGTTCCCTCAACCCGAACAGTGCCATGTGCTCTTCACCGTATCTTGTCTCTAAATTGGAGGTGTGGGAGGTCAGGGATTTTGGTTGCCGTTCTCTGCAAACATTACTTTTCATTTTTTCTGTTTCCAATCACAGCAAACCCTAGAAGCTGAATGCTCTACAGAATTAACCTAAGGTGTCTCCTATATAGCGCAAGGATTCCTCTTGGTTTCTAGGTTTTTTTTTTTTTTTTTTTTTTTTTTTTTTCCTTTTTGTAGTTTAGAAATTTGTCAGCTTCATTTCTTTACGTTATTACGCTGTTGTTAATCGGAGAAGTGAAAACATATAATTTCCATTTGCTTGGCTCAGCTATTTGGTTTCGGTACTTGGTCTAGATGTTTGTTTAGAGAGTTCTGCATCGTTCAAACCATACTTTTTGGCTTTACTTACGGTATTTTTTCTCACAAAAAATTTATTTAAATTTCAAAAGTTAAAATTATGAATTATGATTTGAATTCATGAACTAAACGGATCATAATAGAGATTTTGGTCCCACGGCGAATCTTGGTACTTTTCTCTTATTTTCTTCTTAATGTTGTTTCTGTTTTGAGTTTGTAATGGGAAAAGTGAGATAATTATCAAGAAGAGTAAAATGTAGATTTCACCCTCATTTGGGCCACTCTGTGCCTTGTGGAGGATGTGGTTTGAGACTGCTTGCTTTTATTGGGCTTTGGTATAGGAGACTGGTGAATGGGTGACAGTGACACCCACCTCTGAGTTTCATCTAATAGTTAAATACATAGATAATTACATATATATCTATGCTTCCATTTCCTCTAAGAAACAAGCTAGGGGAATTGGGCCAGTTATTAGAGATTCTGAAGGTATTGTTTTCTCTATTCACGAAGATGAAGTTAAAGCTATCTCCATGAGTCCCCTACGGGTTTTAAACGTTGGTTTGAAACTTCAGTTCGTGGAATTTGATACACTGACAATCATCCAAGCAATGAAACATTCCTCTTCTTTTTGTAATGAGTTTGGTTTATTATTGTCAGATGTATCTAGCTTATTATTTCATTTTTTAGGAACTAAGTTATGTCATGTGTATAAGGAAGTTAATAAAATTGCCCATACTTTAGCTGCTTATGCTCTTAATATAGATGATGAGCTAATTTAGTTGGAGGAAACTCCAATGGTCATAGAATTTGTTATTGTATCTAACAGTTATTCTTATTAATAATAACATATTCTATTCTCAACCCAAAAAAAAAAAAAAAAAAATGAAATGAAGAATGTCCATAAGTTGTTATATTTGCATATAAATTTGTAAAATAACCTGTAATGATATTTCTATCCCTATCAACTACCTTTTAAAATCAGTAATACAAATTCACAATCACCCGCATAAAAAAGGTATATTTAGAATTATATTACGTCAGTAACCACAAAATGGACATATTGATAATATTATTGAATAAAAAACATCTAAATATGGAGGATAAAAATGATCATTTCGCGTAAATTCTTCTTCATTCTAATTCATCCACAAGTGCGTGGCTGCCATTGACGAATAGATATTTTATTTTTAGAGTGTTGGTGGAGTCGCTGAATGAAGGGAGGGCATGGATTAATTGATATTCTAAAAATATACATTTTTTTAATTATTATTAACAATAACAATAAAGTTCGTATTTTGTAACTAAACCTTTTTTTTTTTTTTTTTTTTGAGAAATAGTAGAAAATAGCCCAATATGAAAACCTTAAGAAAGTACATAGGCCAATTTTTAGTTATAGAAATTAATAGGTCATAACTTGTCAAGTTATAATTCATAACCAGATAAGTTATGGACAAACTTCTCAAGTTATGGTTCATAGCCAGACAAGTTATGGACAAAAACCATGAATAACTTGTCAAGTTATGGTTCATAACCAGACAAGTTATACCATAACTTGACAAGTTATGGACGAAAACAGTAATTTGGCCTATTTATTAACTTATGTAAACTATTGGCCTATTAATTTTAATTCATCTCAAGTCTTGATCTATTTCCCTCTTTCTCCCTTTTTTTTTAGCAAAAGTTTTAAAGTTCATGGAGATTGAGTGGTACTGCATTTTAAAAATAGTGCAGGTTTAAAAAATAATCCTAAATTTTAGCTTTATTTAAGGAAAGTGTTGGAGGATCAGCTAGGTAAAAAAGATTCTTTGCCCATGAATTGGCTGCAAAATATACTGGACAAGTCCTTATCGTATTTGTGTGATTTCTGAAAGAGGCTCTGGTTAAGATGTCCAGCTAATCTCTTTATTGGTTGATCTTTGCAGATTCTTGAATCTTATTTTATGGGGTTTTTAGTACAATAATTGCCCTCCGAAATTGTCATAGTTTGGCAAATTGAATCAAACTTTCAAATTTGACAATCAATCCCACAAACTTATAAAATTGTTGCAATGTACCCAATTTTACTAAATTTACTCAAACTTTTTATTAGATTTAAGGGATTAAAAATTTAAGAATTAAAAGATTTGTGTGACATTTAAATTAGATGTTAGAATTTTTCGTCGAACGTGTTTTTTGACATTAATTCAACACAATCATAGTCAAATATGGGCATATAGCAATAATTAATTTATAAGTTGAAGTAAAAACTTGTTAAATTAAACGTTCAAAGGGTATTGTTAAAGCCATACAAGTTCAAAGAGCAAAGGTATAAAATACACTATTTTATAACCAACAAATTTAATCTATTGTTTATTATTATCATTATCATTATTATTATTATTATCGTTGTTATTATTATTATTATCGTTGTTATTATTAATATCGTTATTATTATTATTATTATTATTATCATCATCAT